GGTAGTCCAGTACGAAATGACTTCGTGTTCCATTATGCGGTGACATAACCATCGTGAGGTGGACTCCACGTACCTGACTTGGAAGCCAGGGCAGGTAAATGTAAATAGATATGCAATGTTAGAACACAAATTAAAGTGGCATCTCGTAAGTTGTTTAAAAACATGCAATAGTGTTAGACTTGCTGAAGACAAAAGGAAATTTTATTTGAGAGCAATTGTTTTGTAAAAGTGTTCTTAAATGTTTTCTGATTTCAAAGCTTAATTTCCTCACAAATGGTAGCTTCATGTATCTATGATCCCTTTTAGCAGTTGATATAGTAGGTTAATTTGAGATTTTTTCTTTACATTGAAGTCTTTGTTATTTTATCAAACAGATACAATGGATTCAATTTCTTACAATTTCATCATGGAAAGAGGACCGATTGTTACACAGATTATTGGCTCTAGTGATGAGCGTCTTTATGTTGTTGATTTTATAAATGTATGGGATATTGCTGAGGAAGTGAAGCCAGAGGCCAGTAAAGGCTGGTTTACGGTAAATGCTCGTATGGAAACGTCCATTGTCCATGGTAACACGGGTGTCTGGAAAGGGTAGTTGGTTGCTTTGTTGCATTTCACGGGTATTTATTACTCTTAACTCTAAACACCCAAGCATTAAATTTACCTGTGAAATGCAACATATATATATATATATATATATATATATATATATATATATATATATATATATATATATATATATATATATATATATATTATACATATATATATTCATATGTATATATATGGATATTGTATGTATATATTTATATAAATATATACATACATATATTCATATGTATGTATGTATGTATGTATGTATATATATATATATATATATATATATATATATATATATATATATATATATATATATATATATATATATATAATATAAATGTATATATGTGAGTAGATATATATATATATCATATGTATATATATGCATATACATAATATATATATATATATATATATATATATATATATATATATATATATATATATATATATATATACATACATATACGTGTGTGTGAGCTTTTATATAACGGAATCAATCCTCCTCAACTGGATTCCCCCACGACTCCCACTGTAGCCTATGGAATACAGAAGCCATTGTGCATCCAAACTTTACAAGGAAAGAAAAAAAGTATATAAAATATAAATATATAAATAATACTCCAAGTTTAGCTTAGAAGCTTAACACGACAATGCCACCTTTGTGGTCTTCTAGAGGCATGGGGAGGAGAGCGAATGGGGAAGAGAGAGAGGAGGAGGGAGAAAGGGAGGAGAGAGAGGGGAATAGGGAGAAAGGGAGGAGGGAGAGGGGAATAGGGAGAAAGGGAGGAGGGAGAGGGGAATAGGGAGAAAGGGAGGAGAGAGAGGGGAATAGGGGGAAAGGGAGGAGGGAGAAAGGGAGGAGAGAGAGGGGAATAGGGAGAAAGGGAGGAGAGAGAGGGGAGGCGGGAGAAAGGGAGGAGAGAGAGGGGAATAGGGGGAAAGGGAGGAGAGAGAGGGGAATAGGGGGAAAGGGAGGAGGGAGAAACGGAGGAGAGAGAGGGGAATAGGGGAAAAGGGAGGAGAGAGAGGGGAATAGGGAGAAAGGGAGGAGAGAGAGGGGAATAGGGAGAAAGGGAGGAGAGAGAGGGGAATAGGGAGAAAGGGAGGAGAGAGAGGGGAATAGGGGGAAAGGGAGGAGGGAGAAAGGGAGGAGAGAGAGGGGAATAGGGAGAAAGGGAGGAGAGAGAGGGGAGGCGGGAGAAAGGGAGGAGAGAGAGGGGAATAGGGGGAAAGGGAGGAGAGAGAGGGGAATAGGGGGAAAGGGAGGAGAGAGAGGGAGAAAGGTGGGAGAGAGAGGGGAATAGGGGAAAAGGGAGGAGAGAGAGGGGAATAGGGAGAAAGGGAGGAGAGAGAGGGGAGGCGGGAGAAAGGGAGGAGAGAGAGGGGAATAGGGGGAAAGGGAGGAGGGAGAAACGGAGGAGAGAGAGGGGAATAGGGGGAAAGGGAGGAGAGAGAGGGAGGAAGGGGGGAGAGAGAGGGGAATAGGGGAAAAGGGAGGAGAGAGAGGTGAATAGGGAGAAAGCGAGGAGAGAGAGGGGAATAGGGAGACAGGGAGGAGAGAGAGAGGAGGAGGGAGAAAGGGAGGAGGAGGGAGTAAAAAGGATGGGGTGATGGAAACTGGCTGGGGAGAAGGAGTTTTGCAAATGGGGGATAGTGTGAAAGGGAAGAGAGAAGGGAGAAGGGAGAAAGGAGAGAGGGAAATAGGAGAAAAAAAGGTGTTGGAGGTGGAGTTCAGGTGGCAGAGATCGGTAAGAGGAGTAGAGAGAGGGACGAGAGAGAAGAAATAAAAGAAGAAAAAAAAGGAAAGGGTATGGAAGCTGGAGTCTGGGCGAGAGTAGATCGGTATGCGAAAGAGAGAGAGAGAGAGAGAGAGAGAGAGAGAAGAGAAAAGAGAGGAGAGAGTGAAAAGGAAAAAGAAGAAAAAGAGGGGTTGGGGGTCCTTGGATGTGAAGTTGGGATGGGTAAAGGAGATGATAGCGGTGAAGAAGAGGAGAAGGGGAGAGAGAGAGGGGGAAGAGGGGGGGGGGAGGGGAAGGAGGAGAAGCGTACATGTAAGGAGAGGATTCCTTTGTCACACGAAACAACTCACGTGTCTGTCCTTCGCGGGTACCACTTCAGCGTCCTTTGAAAGCTTGTCAGACTGTTCCTTTTATCCTGTCTGACTAACCTTTGTATGTGGATTGAGTGTACTGGATACCCACCCCCTCCCACCCACTCACCCACCCACCTACGCCCAATAGATCCAGTCCACCGGGTTGGCACTAACTAGGCTGAAACACAGGGTAAGGGGGGGGGGGGACGTATACACATACACACAGAGGCTGATACACACATGAGAACATGTAGATCACATGTGTCGTATGGATGTATGTATGCACATAAACACATAGATATTATAAATCACACACATACATACATATGCGTATCCAAGTATGCATCACCCGAGATGCCAGGTATACACTGCAGCATTCATCAGAGACAGAGACAGACTGAGCAGCTATCCCTTTCCCGAAGAATACACACACACACACACACACACACACACACACACACACACACACACACACACACACACACACACACATATATATATATATATATATATATATGTGTGTGTGTGTGTGTGTGTGTGTGTGTGTGTGTGTGTGTGTGTGTGTGTATAGGTAGAGAGAGAGAAATATAGATAGATAGGTGCATATATAGATAGATAGACAGTCACAAAGACAGACATGCAGATATATACATACATACATACATATGTACTGCACATGCATACATAGATATAGCATTTACATTACTGTGACTGAGTCAGAGAGAGTGTGTAAATGCATCACATATATTTCATCCAACCTCCAGGGAGTTACTCAAGACAGAAGGAAACGGAAAGATGCAAGTGAAAAAGGGAGAACGAGAGATGTAATTAAAAGAAAAGGAAAAAGTAAAAAAAAAAAAAAAAAAGTTAAAACAAGTTATATAAAAAGTAAAAAAGGTAAATAAAAAGTAGAAAAAAAAGATATAATTAAAAGAAAAGAAAGTGTAGTTCAATAAAAAAGTAGAAAAAAGGAGATATAATCAAACGAAAGGAAAAAGTAAACAAGAAAAATAAAAAGCTAAAAAAAAAAGTAAAAAAAAAAGTGAAATAAAAAAGTAAAAAAAAAAAAAGTTAAATAAGAAAATTAAATAAAGTAAATACAAAAATAAAGGTAAAAAAATAAAAATAAAAATAAGAAAGGTTTACGTACGAGCCCTCTCTTCGTCCCTTTGATGATTCCCTGGAGAACCTTCTTTTACACGGGGGGGGGGGGGGGGGGGGTACAGAGGTTGTCCTTGTTTTGTAATTATGGTTGAAGGAGGGGGAGGGGGTGAAGGGGGGAAAGGAGGATAGAGGAAGGGGGAGTGGGGAGTAAAGGAGGGGGGGAGGGGTATGAGGAGGGGGGGAGGAGGTGAAAGGTTGGGGGGATGAGGAGGGGGGGAGGGAGGGGGGAAAGGAGGGTAGAGGAAGGGGGAGGGGGGAGTGGAGGAGGGGAAGTGAAAGGTGAAGGATAAAGGTTGGGGGGGGATGAGGAGGGGGAGGGGGACGGGAATGGGGTAGGGGAGGTGGAGGAGGAGGGGGGGAGGTGGGAAGAGGGGTGATAAATGAGGGAAGATGGACTGAGGAGGAGAAGGTAGAAGGGAAGTGGAATGGGAAGGGAAGGTGGACTGAAGTAGGGGATTGGGGAGGGAGGGGGGGGGTTAAAGGTAGGGGGAGGTCGAACGAGGAGGTGAAGGATACAGGAATAAGGAGGGGGTTGGGGGGGAGGGATGGTGGAATATAAAGAAGGAGGGGGGGGTTGAGAGGTAAGGAGTGAGAGTTAAGGATAGGGGGAGAGAAGGGAAGGAGAAAGGGGAGAGGAGGAGAAGAAGGAGAGGAAAGAGAGGAAGAAAAGGGGGTGGAGGATAGGAGGATGGAAATAGAAATGGTAATGAGGATAGTAGAAGGAAGGAGATGGATTGGAAAATTGGGGAAGATGGAAAGGGAAATGGCCGGGGAACGAGGAAGAGGGAGGAGGAGAGAGAGTGGAGGAAGAAATAGGGAGAACGGGAAATAAAGAAGAGCTAGAGACAAAAATGAGAAGAGAAATTTAAGTTAACTATTAAATAAGATTTATGTGAAAGCTGATCAAAATAGCACCAATAAGTGTGTCTAAAAAGCGCATTGTGTAGAACATTGTATACTTACAGTCCATCTATAGGCTTATCTATCCATCTATCTATACAACCTTTTTATATAAATATAGATCTTCCAACCTACACCACAAACCACAAAAAAACTAAATAAAATAAAAAACTAAATCAGATTTAAAAAAAAAAGTCAATCGAAACGATAAAACAGAAATATACAAATCAGTTTTCCTTCAACAGATCCGAGTTGATGCTGCAGCTTCGACCTGCCTTCGAAACCCTGCATTCTGAGCCACGAAGAGGATGTGTCTGTATCTGTGTCTGTGGCTTGAGCTGGTCTGCGGCTTTGTGTCTACGCTTGAATGCAGGTTCGGATTTGCGTGTTGTCGGTGTCTGATTCTGGAGTCTGTCGATGTCTGTGTCTGGGGGAAATGTGGCGCTGGAGCTATCGTTGCGGTTATGAGGGCGGAGGAGAAGAAAGGAGAGAAGAAGGAGGAGGAGGAGATAAAAGGGGGGAGGAGAAGAAAAAGAAGAAGCAGGAGGAGATAAAAGGTTGGAGGAGAAGAAAGAGAAGAAGAAGAAGGAGGAGGAGATAAAAGGGGTGGAGGAGAAGAGAGAGAAGAAGAAGGAGGAGATAAAATGGTGGAGGAGAAGAAAGAGAAGAAGGAGGAGGAGATAAAAGGGTGGAGGAGAAGAGAGAGAAGAAGAAGGAGGAGATAAAAAGGCGGAGGAGAAGAAAGAGAAGAAGAAGGAGGAGGAGATAAAAGGGTGAAGGAGGAAATAGGAGAAGGGCAAAGGGGAGGAATAGAGGAGGAAGAGGGAAGAAGAAAGAGGAAATGAAAGAGTGGAGGAGGAAAAGGAGAGGGGCAAAGAGGGGAACGGAGTAGAGGAGGAGGAGGAGGAGGAGGAGGAGGAGTAGGGACAGCGGCAGGAACTGGAGCATGAGGAGGGGTAACGAAATGGTTAAAGCGAAAGGTAAGTTAGGAAGAAAGTTAGATGGGAAGAGAGAGGAACTGAGAAAGGGGGAGTAAGAGAGAGAGAGAGAGAGAGAGAGGGAGAGGGGGGAGGGGGGAGAGGGTGAGAGGGAGGGAGGGAGAGATGGTGAGAGGGAGGGAAGGATGGGTGGAGAGAGGAAGAGAAAGTGTAACGATGTGTGGTGACGTTATCCCATGCGCTGTCACCAATGTAATGAATAGCAGGGAGAGCATCCCACTGGTCTGCCACTAACGCAATGATGTGGTGAGTTTGTGTTCCTCTGTGATGGTACTGTTGGCTTGGTACTTGGGTGTTGAGTTAAGGATATCGCAGGTTCAATATATCTTAACACGGGAGTACGGTAGCTGGAGTACAGAGGACAGGCCTGGCAGAGACGTCAATGCTGAGGGCTGAGAGTTTCTGAGGTGATTACAGGTTATTTTTGTACGAAATAGTTTTAATTTTCGCTAAACATAAGAAAATAGAAACCGTTAATCTTTAATAGGAGTGCCATAGCAGACTTTCTCTTTTATGACAGTCATAGGTTCCTAGGGTCACATGTTTGGACAGGGACAGTGGATGTCATTACAATTAAATCGTGAACATTTGATAACTACAGTATCGTCAATAAAAATAATTACAATCATAGTGATTCAGAATAAAGGTTTTCTAACAAACATTTTGTGTATAATCAAAATATAAGTTTACTTGTAGTTATAGAGTGATCGGCGGTAAGGGTCAGAGAGGTGCTGGGTACCCTGGGAGGCCGAGGGTGAGTACAGGGGAGAGGTCATTAAAGAGAGTGAAAGAGAGAGAGAGAGACAGAGAGACAGAGAGAGAGAGAGAGAGAGAGAGAGCGAGAGCGAGAGAGAGAGCGAGAGCGAGAGAGAGAGAACGAGAGCGAGAGAGAGAGCAAGAGCGAGAGCGAGAGAGAGAGAGAGAGCGAAAGAGAGAGAGCAAGAGCGAAAGCGAGAGAAAGAGAGAGAGACGGGCATACAGACAAATAGAGGGGATGAGAAAAAGAGAGAAGATAAACAGAAATTAAAAATAACCATAAAAGAGTGAGAAAAAGAGAGAAGACAAACAGAAGAAAAATACCAAAAACAGCAACAGATAAAGAAATAAGAAATAGAATGAAAAGCGTAAAAAGATATCACCCCCAAGGTAAATAAACAAGACATAAAATATATAAATAATCAAGACACAACAATACACATAAATATCAAGAACAAAGACCCAGCAGTTCTCAAAACACGAACTGCCAAGGGAAATGTACTGAAACGACTAACAACACAGAGAGAAGTGAGGGGAGGATATACTGGAGGGGGGGAGGGTATACGACGTTATTTGTGGGCGTGGCTTTGTGAATGTGGGTGGAACATCCCTTAGATTTTGTTGTTGTTGATGTCATCACTTTGATCAGGGACGGTGAGTTGAAAGCCGTGTGTGTGTGTGTGTGTGTGTGTGTGTGTGTGTGTGTGTGTGTGTGTGTGTGTGTGTGTGTGTGTGTGTGTGTGTGTGTGTGTGTGTGTGTGTGTGTGTGTGTGTGTGTTTGCTTGTACATGTGTCTATGTTTGCATGTGTGACTGCGTGAATGTATATGCGTATTTAAGTGCGCGTATGTGTTTTTGAGTACATGTGTGTGTCTGTAATCAGTTAAGAGAGTGGGCGAGTGTATCAAGAGTACTTTATTGTTGTTATCTACGTGTGTTTATCCGTGTGTGGGCAAAAGAGTTGCCTGAGTAAATGACCGAGTACACTTCGTCGGAGAACGAGAGGGTGCATAATAGAATAAGTGTTTGTATTTGCGTGCGTGAGAGATCGGGAAATTAGACAGGAGAAGGAGGGAAAACCAGAGAGGGAGAGGATAAGAGAGGAAGGAGGGGAATGAGGAGAAGGAGGAATATGGAGAAAAAAAACAGGAGATTGCGGAAGGAGAGAAAGGAAAATGGAGAAGAATGAAAAAAATGAAAAAAAAAACAGAGAGGGAGAGGGTAAGAGACGAGGAGGGAGAAGAGGAATGGGGAAAAGGAGGAAGATTCAAAAACAGGAGAATGGGGAAGAAGGAGAGAAAGAAAAATGAAGAAGAATGAAAAAAAAAGAAAAACAGGGGAGGGAGAGGATGAGAGAGGAGGAGGGAGGAGGGGAATAAAGAGAAGGAGGAAGATGGAGAAAAAACAGGAGACTGAGGAATGAGGAAAGAAAGGAAAATGAAGAGTGAAAAAAAAGGAGATAGGAAAAGAAAGAGAGGAACGAAAGGAAAGAAAAGAAGGATAAATAAAAGTATAAGGAGGAGAAAAGGCCAAGAATGAGAAAGGAAAAGAGAGCAAGGAGAAAAGAAAAGAAAAAGATTAAAAAAGAGAGAAAAAAGACGAAAAAGTTGTGAGTTGAGAAAGGGAAAGAGTCATAACGTGTAGTGAGTCAGGCAAACTAAGGAAAAGAAATAAGGAACTTTTCCACTTACAGGAAATTGATTGTTTAAGACTTAAGTCATAAGTGCGCGTTCAGGGAGACGCATGTGTGTTGCAGCGAGACGTCGGGTGATGATAAATAAACTCGGCGCTTAGTTGGTGTGTATGTATATATATATATATATATATATATATATATATATATATATATATATATATATATATATATATATATATATATACATATATATATATATATATATATATATATATATATATAGAGAGAGAGAGAGAGAGAGAGAGAGAGAGAGAGAGAGAGAGAGAGAGATTTATATATGTATGTGTGTGTGTGTGTGTTGTGTGTGTGTGTGTGTGTGTGTGTGTGTGTGTGTGTGTGTGTGTGTGTGTGTGTGTGTGTGTGTGTGTGTACATATGTATATATATACATATATATATATCACCAGTTAGAGTAGAATCATGAGTGAAATACGAATGAAGATGTTTGCGGAGCACAAAGGCCTCCGCCCCCCCCCCGTTCCCCCAATCCCCGCCTCCGCCCCGCTCAGCATCCAGTCCCTAATCCCTGTGTACATTTACAGGGATCGCCAAGGTCTTCCCCGACGACGCTAGCGAGGACCCGGAATAAACCATCTCTTGCGTTAATGGTGAGTGGCTCTTAAGGGTTATTAACGGATGTATACACAGAACTTATCTACATGCAGACGTGCATATGAATTCACATACATGATATAAGCGCACATAAACAAATTCACGCAGATACACATATGTATACGTGGATAAATGCAGACATGCAGGTACACATACATGTACATTGACACATGGCAATGCCACTCAGCTACACTTCTGAAAGCAGACGTATATATGTACGCAGGTTCACTCATGAACTCAGACACACTCAGATGCACGCAGTCATAACCGTGTGAAATATTCATGCTGAACAAATTGTAGACAAAACGACGAAGGAAAGAACAAGAAAGTATCCGACTGTGCCACGCATATATTTTTTTCTTCTAGTTGTTGCTTCATTCAGACACATTCGTTAACGTTGACATACACACATACACGCAGACACACACTAATGCTCGTTGACATACACACATGCACGCAGACACACACTCATGCACGTTGACACACACATACAGGCAGACACACAATCATGCATGTTGACATACACACATACAGGCAGACATGCACTCGTGAACACAGACATACATGAGTTAGGAACCCACGAAATGATTGAAATAATCATTATTGGAATAATTTGACATTGTGCGTAAGTAGAATTAAAACAAATGCTACATCCATTATCGCAGGTGAACTATCATAATTCACCGAAACATAAATGCAATTGCAAAGTTATACCACACGTGATACATATTGAAAACATGGCGCGCAGATGTAAATGTTAATGTACACCTAAATGGGCGATATGTCGTACGCATCTACTGTACATGCAAATTCATATTCATCCGTATTTTGATGAAATAATAGCACTTTTGTCATCGATGTATCATGCAACAACACATTTACTGCATGTGAACCGGCATGCATGCAAATGCCCTATTAGTTAGTACAATTATTACAGTTCTCCCTTTTCAATGAAATAGGTATCTCGTATTTTTGAAGGAGCTTTAGGTTTACTCAATACAACTTTCAAACTTTCAACTGTATACCCAGGATACACTAACTTATATACACTATGTACAGTATCGACGTCACTCTATCTCTGCTTGAAGTGAATTTGTAATAAGCTACTTAGTTTGTTTGTTTGTTTTTTATGTGGGGGGTGGGGTGAATGGTTATATGGATATATACAGTACCTGTGTGCGTGTGGCTTGATTTCAGAGTGTTTTTTAGCTGTTAGATTTATGATCAGATAACGTGAGAGCCGCATTCCTGACAAGCCTTTCTGTTGCAGGAAGGATGAGACCACAGTTCTGGGAGTGAGCAATGGAGTGCAACAAGCTTTGCAACATCATGCATTAGACTTTGACCTGTATCAACCTTCGGGCTTCTCTGCCAACCGAGTCACTAGTCCCTCAAGATGGCGATACTAAGACTCGGTGAGAACGAGACCCTCCCTCGTCTCATCGAGTATGACCTCAACACCTCGGGCCTGGAGGAGGACGTCACCCTCTCCGCTGCGCCCTACGACCTCGAGCTGGCGATGCCCGTGTGGGAGGTGGTGCTGACGGTGGCGTCGCTGAGCGTGATCATCGTGTTCACCATCGTGGGCAACGTGCTGGTGATCCTGTCCGTGTTCACGTACCGGCCGCTGCGGATCGTGCAGAACTTCTTCATCGTGTCGCTGGCCGTGGCCGACCTGACGGTGGCCGTGTTCGTGCTGCCCTTCAACGTGGCCTACAGCATCATCGGCAAGTGGGTGTTCGGCATCCACCTGTGCCAGATGTGGCTCACGTGCGACATCATGTGCTGCACGGCCTCCATCCTCAACCTGTGCGCCATCGCCCTCGACCGCTACTGGGCCATCACGGACCCCATCAACTACGCGCAGAAGCGCACCGTCAAGCGCGTGCTGGCCATGATCGGCCTGGTGTGGGCCATCAGCGTGGTCATCTGCCTGCCGCCGCTGTTCGGCTGGAACGACTGGCCCGACGTGTTCACCTCCGACACGCCCTGCATCCTCACGCAGGAGAGGGGCTTCGTGATCTACTCGTCGTCCGGCTCCTTCTACTGCCCGCTGCTCATCATGACCTTGGTCTACGTCAAGATCTTCACGGCCACGCGCCGGCGCCTGCGGGAGCGCGCCAAGGCCTCGCGCCTCAACCAGATCCCGGCCGCCGGCAAGGCGCGGCCGCCGCGCGAGGACGACTCGGCGCTCAGCGAGAACGGCCACAACGGCTACAGCGACACCTGCAAGAAGAAGCTGGTGCAGAAGAAGCGGCGGAAGAAGCGGAAGGCGGCGGCGGCGGCGGCGGCGGCGGCGGGGCGGCCGTCCTCGTCGGCGCCCGGCCTGGCGCCCCCCGCCATCGCCGAGACGTCGGACCCGAGCCACACCAAGGACGACGCGTCGCCGCTCGACGAGAAGAGGAACGTGGACGTGGTGGTGCGGCTCGACCCCAAGGACGGCAGTCAGATCCACCAGTTCATCGAGGAGCGGCAGAAGATCTCGCTGTCGAAGGAGCGGCGCGCCGCCCGGACGTTGGGCATCATCATGGGCTCGTTCGTGGTGTGCTGGCTGCCCTTCTTCCTGATGTACGTGATCCTGCCCTTCTGCCCGTCGTGCCCGGTGCCCAACGACAAGCTCATCAATTTTATCGTGTGGCTCGGCTACATTAACTCGTCCCTCAACCCCGTCATCTACACCATCTTCAACCTCGACTTCCGCCGCGCCTTCGCCAAGATCCTGAGGTGCCCCGTCGCCTCCACGGCGTAAACATCATGCGCTTCTCTCTTTCTTCGGTTTCGTAGTATTTTTTCACTCAAAGGCAAAATATATATCCTTGTTTCCAGTGATGATTACCATTAAGGGCCGATGATATAAAGTTCTGTTCAAGTATCAAAAATTGTCAGCGAAGAAAATACGAAATGAAACTACAGATTCTACAACGCCTTCTACAACCTAAAGACAGAACATTGTTATTAACGATAATTCTTATAGTAATTATATCTCTGAGAACACTAAGCAATAATCAACATCAGAACATAGAGAAATATGAATGATCAAAGCTAAAGAGGATGAGTAGAGCATGACGTACCACATCTAATTTGCATATCCTAAGTAGCATTATTCCTGTCTACGTGCTTAGAAATTAATATAGTGAAAATACATGTGTGGAACGCATCATGCACAAAAGTTCAGTAATGCAACAGCCACATTTAAACAGAAAAGTCATGCCAGTTACATCTTCTGTAAAACGAATTCATTTTTACTACTATTGCTATCACTACTATTAGTACTCAACTACTACTAATATTATTATCATTATGATTGTTATTATTATCATTGTCGTTTTCATAATTATTATTAGTATTGCTATTATCATTGTCACTTTTACTTGTTTATGATTGCCAGCATTTTTATCATCATCACTGTTATTATTACCATCATTATTATTATTACCATTGTTATCATTATAATTATCATTGCGTTCTTCCTCATCATCAATATCCTGTTTTTCTTCTTCCTATTCCTTTACCTTATCCTGCTTATGTAGGACACAAAAAACTATTATCTATCGGCTCTTCTGAAAAAAAAACAGTATCATATCGTGGACCAAAATGGACGGGAAGTAGATTTAAACATGATTATGCTCTGAAAGCACTTATAGCTTTTAAAAAAAGTGGTTTGTGATGATAGTGACTTTTAACTGTAGATTTGGTAAGAACATGAGAGATTTCTATATTCACATTTTATAGCTGGTTGATTTCTTCACTATACTCATTGTAGTGAAGTTTTGAATTCTGTGGTGGTGGTTCTGGTAAATTGATACTTCTACGTTTACAAAGTTACCAGAAAAAAAAAAAAATCTTATTGTTCATGCCTGTTCATCTTAAAAAAAAATCTTATTGTTCATGCCTGTTCATTTTTTTTTTTTTTTTTTTTTTTTTTTTTTTTTTTTTTTTTTTTTTACATTTGCTGTTAATAATCGATGTGTAAAGTTCATATAGTTCATTGCCGTAATGATTACTCAGCACATGCTCACGAAGGCATGTTGGTATGTTGCCTGCAATGTAGGTCAGCATTCGTAGGTAAAAGCTTTTCATTCTTCGCCTAGAATGTGTCGGTCATATCAGTAATTAGATTACTCGAACTTGTCAATGAAAATATGAATGGCAAATATCTCACTTCCTCCTTAATTTTTCATTTCAATTATCTTTTTTTTTAACACCTTTGTTTATATGTGTCCTAGAAACTGGTGATTTCTTCACTATACTCACTGTGTTTTGGAATATGATTATGTTTTTGTTTTTTGATGTGTAGAAAATCCGAAAGTGTCTACACTATATCTTCTCGAGGGAGGTATGATGCAGCCACGAGGTAACAAGCATTGATTTCAGAATTCTATGTAAACAATTACGCTGATTAAAGAAAAGAAAAAAAAGAAAAATAAATAAAAACAATACATATGATATGAAAAATAATGACCAATCCTTTTTTTACGTTCTGCCATAATCTAACGTCTTCCTAAGAGATATTTTTTTTTGTCTTGTGACCTGAGAGATCTCCATCCCAGACTGAGCCCCTATTAGGAATGGCCATCTCTCACCAAGACCATTACTCGCTGTGCGTTATCGGTTTATCTCGTTTGTGAAGAAAAATAAAGATCTGTATCTATGAATGTTATTGAAGTAAAACTGTTACGAAAATGTACTTGTTTCTTTCTTTTTGGGCAACCCTTTCAGGATCCAAATGTTTATTATTGCAATTCATTACAATTTTAGGCTCGAGAACAAGAAGGGCCAATGTCCTAAAATTCAATGTTGAGAAAAACGCCTTTGAAAGTTTACTTCGTTGATTGAAATCCGGCAAATAAGAATCCACGAAATAGATTTTGTTTCTGTGACTAATCAAACTGCATTAATATATTCTTATAAAAAAAATCTACTGAACGAAAAGAGAGTAATATTTTTCATAACGATTTTTTTTTGTTTTTTTTTCAGTAGAGCTTTCAAAACAAACATTATAAAAACATTTTTTTACTGATTAACTGATGAATAACTGATGCTGTTATCGTTTAGAGTTTTTCCATCATTTTATGACTTAAAGATATAAATAAATAAACTTCCTTTGACAATAATTCTGTAAAACATTCACATCAATTTTTTTTTCTTTCCGTAACTGTGAAATGTATTACCTGTAAGACTAAAAATAGTATATTAACTTTAAGGAAAGTATAGAATAGTAAAAGCGGCTAACCTGAAGCTTTCCGTTGCCATGTTCTCAAAATGCAGTCATTTGTTGCAATCAGTCACGATTGGAATATAGGATTTTCGGAATTTCGAAATAATGTTCTTGTGGCGTTCCTAATGCGCCGATGACACTCATAGAAACAAAACAAATCCAGTTCGGTGGTTGGCATTTTTGAACAATGGCCCTTTTAGCTCTCGGCTCTAGAAATGCTATTCATGTTAACATCGGGCATTTTCTTGATTCGGTGAGTATATATATATATATATATATATATATATATATATATATATATATATATATATATATATATATACATATTTATATTTATATTTATATATATATGCCACATAGGGGTGCAGCCAGTCCCAAGCCCGGTGAGGGATGGAGGCAGGAAGGCATCCGCCCGTAGATCAAACAGCCAAACAATATAGATAGTCCTCAAGGAGTACTCTCGCAACCTGATAGGGCGTCCTCCACAGGCGAGACGCAGGGACTTCGCCTGACCCAAGCGGAACGCGTGCAAGGGCTTCTTCGTCAAGAACGGGCGTGGCAAAAGAAGATAGGTGGTAAGCTTCAAGTAAGAGTGAGCAGGAGAAAGGAAAGGCCACGAAGGTAGAGAGAATGTCTGCATATATACACTCATCTACTTCTATATCTATATATATGTATATATATAATGTATATATATATATATATGTATATATATATACATACACACACAATGTATATATATATATATACATACTGTATATATGTATATATATATACACACACACACATATATATATGTGTGTGTGTGTATATATATATATATATATATATATATATATATATATATATATATATATGTATATATATATATATATATATTTATACAGACATATACATATAGACATGTACACACACACACACACACACACACACACACACACACACACACACACACACACACACACACACACACACACACACACACACATATATATATATATAATTCAGTTATATCCTTCATTTAATGTGTGAAGTAATGACGAAAGTAAATCAGAAAACTGAATCTCGTCACAGCGTGACTGAATACCATGCGGCATCCAATATTAATGCCTAATCTGTAGTCCACTACATAAAGTTTAAGTAGTTAAAGTGTAAAAAAAAGTCATGTGTAAAAATAGTAACATGAGGTGTCGCAAAGGGGATGTCCTCCCACCTACCATTATATCCAACACTGCACGCAAAGTGGACAAAGGTTGCTCAGTTGAATGACTTGATTCTAAAGTTAGAATCTAAAAATAGGTCCCAGAAACTGAGGATTTCTGGCTCATGGTATTAGCGTTCTGCCTCACATCGTTGAACTTGGTACAGAGATACGGGTAATGTGGCCAAGGAGATCGACCATATTCTCGTTAACAATCGATGGAGGATCCTCAGAACTGCAGGGTATATCGGAGCGCCGAGTTCTGTGGAACTGATATGAGATAAGTGGTGGCTACTATCCGAGTCTACTTCGAAACTCCCCATCGTTCCAATAATCAACCTTGTGTTTCATATATACAGATTGAGGGAGGGGGAGTTTGCTGAGGCTATCTCTATTCGTTTCGCAGCACTCGGGGCCTAACGGACCCTGTTCTTCTGTGAAACACCATCAGGCATGAAACGCTCGATGCAGTTCAAGAATCGATTGGTGAACGCCCAAGAGCAAGACAGAATTTCATCTCACAGGAGACACTGGAAGCCACAGATACTTGTCGCGCTGCTCGTCTGACAGGGTATTGCGACTTGCATCGTTCCCTTGATCGCAGGACCAGGTCTCTGCTGAGAAGGGACAAGGAACAGTTTATTAGGAATCTTGCAGAGGAAGTCGAAAGCCTTTTCCTAGTAAATGACCTTCGACCTGCTTACCAAGCCCTGAGAAAGCTGAACTCCAAGCCTTCCTCACAGACGACTGTAGTCAACACAGCAAGTGGCCAGATCATCTCAGATCCTATTATATTTTGAGCAGTTGTACCAGGTTGTTGCACAAACAATTAGTGTCGAGCTTCTTTTGCCAGACCCACCCACCAACGAGGGCCCACCCTCCCTGACTGAAGTCAGGGAGGCGATCTCCGGCATCTCAAATGATAGTGGAAAATATATGGCAAGGGGCTTGCATACTGTCCTGTCTGCCATCTGTCAGACTGGTACTATTCCCACTGAACTACTAAGGCGTGTGGTCATCCCTCTCTGGAAGGGAAAATCACCGAGGCATTACGTTACTCAGTATATCGGGCAAGGTTTTCGTTCACATCCTTCTGAGATATATCAGAGACCATCTGCTGAGGCACCAGAGGCCTGGATTCACTCCTGGTAAGTCCACAATAGACCGTATCCTGGCGCTCCGAGTCATTGAAGAGTGCCGATGAGTTCGGGCATAGACTGCTTGCAGCCTAAATCGACCTCAAGCAGGCGTTCGATACAGTGCATCATGAATCATTTTGGGGGACCGTGACACTAAGAGGAATTCCAACAAAGATTATTGAATTAATAGGAAACCTGTATACTGGTACTGAAAGGGTTGCACAATGTGGTGGGGGCCTGTCGAGCTTCTTTCCTGTTCAGGAATGAGGCAAGGCTGTGTTCTTGCACCAACACTTTCCAGCACTTGGATGGACTGGATACTGGGTAGAGCTACTGTCCAAAATTATTGTGGAGTAACTCTGGGCAGTGTCAAGGTTACCTTGAACTTGACTTTGCTGACGATGTTATTATTCCATCTGAGTCTCTGAATACCCTAGTTGTGGCTCTTGATGCATTTAGCAATGAAGCAAAGCCTTTAGGCTAGTTTTACTATACGGTAGTGAAATCTGTGTGCCATATTGTGCCTTGGAATCTCGTCTTGATGTCTTTTGTAACAGGCCTTTGCGCCAGATCATGGGATACAGTAGACAAGACTATGTATCCAACCAACGGTTACGCAGTGAGACTGGTATAGGACCTGTTACTTGCACAATCCGCGATCGCCAACTCAGGCTATATGGGCACCTGACTCGTTTCCCACAGGATGATCCTGCCCACCAGTCTGTCTCTGTTCGAGACAACCTTAGGTGGAGGAGGCAAGTGAGAAGTCTTGGCTTGGGTAGATCGATCAAACCTTTCGTGAAGAGCGAGAGATGGGCCGAGCCCCTGCCTGGCTGCTCGTCATGAGGAGCCTTCCTAGGTGAAAACGAAGGGTGGGTGCGGCTATGTGTCCCCGTCGGCGTTAGCTCCCCAATAATGAGGATCATTAACAATGTTGCTCTTATTATTGTCATTGTAATCGCTATGCTTTGCTGGATTATACAGTTACATATATCAATATAATTACTACACCTCAGTACACCTTACTCTTAACAACGTTTATACCACCTTGTACCATCTGTACCAGTTACTTCGTTTTATCTTCATCCGCTGGTCACTGTGTGGTTAATACCCCTTTTCAAAATAGACCCAGAGAGAAAGAGGTCATTTAATGTTGCATAAATTCGGAAACTGTGACCAAAATTAACTTCACTTTCATGTGTAATCTTGGTGCAACTTAATTTATTCGTTAAAGTTATTTCGCGCATTAGTATATACCGGATGCAAACCCTCGGTAT